GGCGACAGCAAATGTGTGTCCTGGCGTGGGTTTTTCTTATTTCAGTCACGTTCACCCTAAACCCTAGACCCTAAATCCTAAACCCTAGACCCTAGACCCTAAACCCTAAATCCTAAACCCTCAATCCTAAGCCCTAAACCCCTATAAATCCTAAACCCTCAATCCTAAACCCTAAACCCCTATAAATCCTAAACCCCTGTAAAAACCCAAGCTCTACACCGTGACCTTCAGCCGCCGAAAGCTTCCAGGTGCCCCGAGGGCCCGGCCTTCCCCGCGGGACGCTGCAGCGACGAGGTCCCTGCGGGGACTTTGGCTTGTTTGCGTTTTTTTGGGTGTTTTTGTGTGGCTTGGGGTTTAGGGTTGAGGGTTTAGGGGTTTTGGGGTTTAGGGGTTTAGGGGTTTAGGGATTTAGGGTTTAGAGTTTAGGGGGTTTGGGGGTTTAGGGTGCAGGGTTTAGGGCTTAGGGGTTTCGGGCCTGGTTTCGGGCAAGGATTCACAGGTTGCCTTTTCTAGGTTGTCTTGGTAGTTTTATGGGTGGTCCAGGAATTTGGGATATGAATTTTCCGGTTCAGGATTTAGGAGTTTATGTAGGGTTCTGGATCTAGGAGTTTAGGGTTCAAGTTTTCTCAAATTTAGCACCTTCGGTTCAGGGGTTTAGGGCAGTTCAGCAGGATTTCATGCGAGTTTCCTGGTTCATGCAGAGTTTGACCGCTTTTGGGTTTGAGCTGGGAATGGGACTTCAGAGGTTGCATGAGCCTGTGTAGGGGTTCTTCTTAGTTTGCAGTTTTGGGGCAGTGTTTTGGGGCTTTCGAGCTTTTGTGTTTCGCTTTGCAGAAGTGCCCCTGTTCATTTTCGGTTACGTCGCGTGTCGCGAGCATTTGTGGGGACTTGATGCTCTGCGAGTGTGGGGGCTGTAGGGTTTGGGGCTTGCGGCTGCGGTTAAGTGCTTGGAGGGTGTGAAGTGCTGGTGTAGACCCCAGCGAAGACCTTTTCGAAAGGAAGCCCTCTATCCGAGACCTCAAACCTGAGTCAGGGTTCAGGGTTTAGGAACGGCTCAGGTTCGAGGATCGGGGGAAGCCAGATTGGATTTGTTTTCGGTTTGCATCTGGGTAGCCAAGAAGCTTGAAGCTGCATGCTTCGCAGTGTTGGCTTTCAGCAAAGTGGGACGACAGATCCGGGTACAGGGATCAGAGTCTTTGCCAATGAGAATGCCTCCGCTGGCTAGACTTATGAGTTAAGGGAACCCCAGAAAGTTGGAACATGGGTTTAGGAGGATTTGTGCTAGGATCGCTCTTACTTCACCTCAAGGGCATGAGGATAATCCTGTTCCAACTTTCTGGCTTCTACCGCAGTTATTGTACGCTAGCCAGGAGCCGGTGAAGGTGAACCTAAACCCCTAAACCCAGAGCCCTAAACCCAGAGCCCTTAACCCCATGTACCGATGAGTGCAGGTCTTGGACAGCCCCGTTCGGCATGGCCCTTACGGAATCGTGTTGAATGGTGCTGCTTAAGCCTCGTGGGACTTCTGGGGCGGACCGTAAACCCCCAAAACCCCACGTTTTCGGGTTCATTACGGGGTGAGGGCGTCGGCTGCAAGGCTGAAGGAATGTTCGTCCGGGTTCCAGAATTGTTTTCCGTCCCGTCTGCGGCTCCCAAAGCCCAAAGCCCGAATCCTTTTACGCAGACTTTACCCAACCCTAAACTCTAAAGCTCTACACCCTAACCTCTGACCGGTGCCAGGCTGGTAGAAGCTCCAAGAAGACTTCGTTGCTCGCCGCGCCGCAACCGAAGCTTTTTTTTAGAAAGTCGTACCGAGAAAATGTGACTCGAAGATAGCACCTGAGATGCTCGGAACCACCCCCTTAAGCCTTTCATTCCCCTAAACGCAAAGAGACCTTAACGCCTGTAGCAGGGAGTTGGATCCGAAAGACGACGCCGCTGTTTGAAAAGCAGCCCCCATGACCTTTGCACTCTCAGCCTTAGATCTCAGCCTGTACCCGCCCCGCCTCCCTGAATCAGGGTGAGGCAAGCATCCGACGCCATGTTTGCCGCGGGGTTGGCTTCCATCGTGGGCCTGGCGACCTATGCCTACAGCCTCCTGGCTTCGGGTTTGTGGCCTACAGGGCTAAGGGGGCTTTGGGTTTGGGTGCTGGGAAGCAGATTCCAAATCCAGATCCCAGGCCCTAAGCCCTGGATTTGAAGCTCTGAAGCTGGTTGCTATCTGCCCCCGAACAAACCGAGGCTACAACTTGTCTCGGTTCAAGTTCGATGCCAAGCTGCGCCAGGAATCCCGATATCACTACCAGGCCGGCAGCATGCATGACCACATGGCACCTGGTCTAGGTCCTCTCTACGAGATGCGAAGAAAACTGTATTTAAATCACCAAGGCCCCTATGGTGAACCCTGTAGTCAACCTTGCTTAAAGCCCACCTTAAACCTTGTAAGCCATTTGAAACCCTGTAACTGGGTCTTGCTCAAGGAGGCCTCTGCAAAGGCAGAATCGCTCGATTTCCAGACAAGGAATCCAGGAATTTCGAGAGTGAAGTCCCATACTTCGCGAGAACCCCCTTGTTCCTTGCTTGGGAAGCCCATCGCCGTGCCCCCAGTCCGGTCCTAAACCTTTTCATCACTATAAATACTGAATCCGACGTCTTATGCGAAGTCGACGTCCCTTCTTTGGTCAGGGCCTAATCCCCTTCTTGGTCAGGACATGAGGATCCAGCCCCCAAACCCTAAACCCTATAGGCCCTATAAGCCCTAGAAGCCCTGTAGGCCTTTTAAGGCCTAAGCCCTAAACGGGGGCTCTCCACAGATTCTGCGGAAAAAGGCCCTCAAAAAAAAACCCTACAAGCCCTGTAAGCCCTAGGCCCTAAACCCAAAACCCCAATGGACACCCTGGTCAGGACATGAGGATCGAGCTTTGGAAGCTCTTCCGCGAGGACGTGCGCGATGTCTTCGAGCTCACGCGGGCGAACATGGACAACTACATGGCCGCCTGCCTTCTTGCCCGGGAGCGTGTATGCTACAGGGTTTAGGGTTTAGGGTTTGGGGTTTTAGGGTTCAGGGTTCAGGGGTGAGAAGAATAAAAACCAAGATTAACAATGTAATGGTAACGACAGTAATAATGGTGGTGGTAGTAGTAGTAGTAGTGGTGGTGGTGGTGGTGGTGGTGGTAGTAGCCGCAAGGATACTTGTGCTCCGAAGAATGATAGGTGGGCCAGCAGTCAGACGCCATTGCATTCATGACCACGTCGACTTGAACGGGAGTTGAGGTTTTAAGGATTAGGGATTGAGGGAGTGCGGGTTGGGAGTGGAGCTAGTCCTCCAGATCGTGCTCTGAGTGTTTACTTGCTGCCCTGCCACCCTATCATTCCCGAAGCCCGAACCTCGAGCCGCAGACGCCCTACTCACCCCAAGCCCGTCACATCGAATGCAAGGCTTTCCAACCCCACGCGCTCAAGCCTAAACCCAGGAACCCCCAAACCCCAAACCGCCGGATGAAACCTGAACCCCAAACTTGAAACCTCAGCCCAAGCCACAGACCCTAGATCCGCCATTTTTGCAACCTAAACCTTAAACCCTAAACGTCCCTAAACATCGCCAAACCCCAAACCCTAAACCGAGGTCGTGGGCGTCTTGATCATCGCCTCGGTCATGAACTTCATGGCCGTGGGGCAATCTGCCTCGACATGGCGTCGAAAGCGGGTTTCCGAGACTAGGGGTGGCCCTTTTTTGTAGTCTTGATGAGGAGGATCCCAGTAAATCGGGTTCCTGATTCCCAGAACCTTCTCTGTAGTGCGGGCTGTACAGGGCAGACTTTTGAAGACCGGAGGCCGCAGCCTCTACTCCAGAGCTTTGTTGCTATACCCGGACCCCACCCCGCACTAGCCCTCAATTCTAGCAGCCTCTAAATGCTCCCTACGAGCCCCCCTTGCAAAGCAAAAGTGCGCCCCTTCGAATTTTCAGATCCGACCTCGTATTGCGTCTTGACGTCGTTCTTATCCCCATGCTGTGTTTCACCCCGAAACACTAGATCCTGAACCTTAATTACACCTTATGCCCTCACGGCCCCAAACCTCAAGCCTCAGACAGAAACCCTAAACCTCAGACGGAAAAGGCTAAACCCTGAGCATATAGCATGAGCTTAAGAGCTGACGCCCCTTCCTTCCGGTCCTTCCGGTTTCGTGCTGGGCGATGTCATAAATCGTCATGTACCACGTCAGATGCATCCCTCGAAAGCCGTCAGAAACTGAGGTATCCGACCTTCCCGATGGAGCCGCCGTGGCTGGTGGTCATCTGGAACAACAGTGTGGCCGGGCAGCGCTAAGGTCAGAAAACACTCGATAAGGAGTCTCTGTGGCCTTCAGATTTCCATGAGCTAGAGCAGGATGCTGGTGCTATCACCGAGGTTCTCGGATGCAAACCTCGCAGAAGCATGTCTAATATGAGGCCCACAAGCTGCGACGATGAGAGAAGCGACGAATGTAGGATTTTCTCAAACGTCCATATGGTGAGCACTTCGAACCGCTCCCTTCCCAAAGTGTTGAGAGTTGGTTACTGCATGACGCCGTCGATGGCATGCCAGATTGGGAGCGCGTAAGGAATAAGGCAGAAGTCATACAATCCTTAAGCACGAACCCCCCATTTCCACATTAGCAAAGCGGTAGAGCCCGAGTCCGTACTTTAACAAAAGGTCTTCTCTTGTGTCATCTTTGGCATGGTGGGCGTCTGGCTGGCCATGCACGGCTCCATCTCGGCCACCTCGGCATCGACGAAGATCCTGACGCAGGCGAGTCCGGGGAGTTTCGGGCTGGGCCCCTTCTGAGGCTTCTCCTGGAGCTTTGGACTTCAACGGAACCGCCAAAAAAGTCTCAGGAAGGGGCCAAAACAGAGGGACAGAGAAGGAGTAGTCGTTCCGATTTAGTGAGGCTGAAAACCTGGGAGTATCACCCCGAAACTCAGAACAGAGGCTTCAAAACAAGCCCGTGACCCCAGAAGGCTTAAGCCGCACCGAGCTCACGTCACTCCTTAAGCGCAAAGCATAAGTCTACCGTTTCTGAGCTCTTTCTCAAGATTGCGAACTTAGCCCGGTTACCGTAAGCAATAAGTAGTCGGAAGCCTTGCTAACGCTTAAACTGCAAACACTCGTACGGTTGATGATGTAAATCCTGCAATACCCATAACAAGGAATATGCCATAATTCCCATAGTTTAGGGTCCTTAAGGTAGTGCAGGATTAATATCATCAACCGTAGTGTAAGTCGTCAGCCGCCAGGCTCGAACAAGAAGCCTCAAAGTCTCAGCACCAAGCCCCTTAAGATTGGCTCTGGGTGTAGGGTTTAGGGTTTGGGGTTTCGGGCTTCGCGTTTAGGCTTTAGGGTCATCTCTTCTGTTCTTTTCGATCTTGTGCTAGTGTTAAGTAGTAGCACAGAGGTTCCCACAGCGTCCTCCTCCCTTAGGGTCTAGCCTTGGGTGTGAGTCGGTATGAGTCAGAGAGGACTGTGGGTTTCGAGCCGACTCTTCAGACTCACTCAGGCCCAAACCTGAAACGTCACCCCATGACCTCCAAGTGGCTCTTCCACCCCCAGACTCTAGACGGGTTTAGGGGTTTAGGGTTTGGGGTTTAGGGCTTAGGGTTTAGGGTTGGTTCTGAAAATGAGAGACGCCACATGTAACGACGACCCACCTCTTATTTCAAGATGCCATATCATTTTGGAACGCCCAAGCTCTGGCCTGTATCCCTGTATACCCTCCGACATGGGGCCGAAGCCTCCATAGAGAGGTCGGAATACTTAGACATAATGTTCATTAGGTCATGAGGGTTCCTTGCTATAATCCGCTTGGATATACCCCAACATATTGTTTTCCTTGTCAAGACCCCGTGTACGAAGTCATACGGATCTGGGCACAGGCCGTTCGGCCGCCGGTGGCGTCCCTTGTAGAGGTCAGCTATGGCATGGTGCAACAGGAGGACCCGAATAGTACTTTCAGCGTTCAGGATTTGAGATATTGGGGTTCTGTAAGCTGGTGTGTAAGGCCCAGGACCCTCGTGGACTAAAATTCAGCCCAGTGACTAGTGGCAGGAAAATGGAGCTGAAACAACAACTGCGAAGATGCCGCTCACCCAAGCTTCAAACCTTTAGCCCATCACCTTAAACCCTAGAGCCCCTAAACCCTGAAGCCCTCACACCCCAAACCCAGAGTTATAAGAACACCTGCAAGGACTACGAGGCAGGAGGTCCGAGCCGGCCACCTGCTTGCAGCTGCTGTGCTGTTGGCGGTTTGGGCCTTAGGGTTAGGGGTTTAGAGGTTTAGAGTTTAGTTTCCAGATTTGGGCTTAGCGCTGTAGGAATCCCGGGCTTCGATTTAATTCAGGGTCGAGGGTTTGCGGCTTTCCAGGGTTTAAACCCTAAACCCTAAACCCTGAACCCTAAACCCTAAACCCTGGGTTTAGGGGTTTCTGGTGCTGAGGCTCCCAAGTGAAAGATGCTTTTCACTTCCCGCGTTTAGGTTCTTCGGTCTTCTTTAGCCGGGTTAAGGGTGACAGAGCTCGGCCGGCGCTTCTTTGGAGTCTTCGGGGTATTCGGGGACCCTGTTTGCAGGATATCGTGCGTGGCAGGGTCCTTACCATGCCGAACTATCAAACCCCGGTAACCCCGGTAGGTAGGTACAGCTCCCACAACCGGAAGTAGAGCCAAGATCAGGAACAACGTGGCTGGGAAACAGAGAAACAGCGAGACCACAGTCGGGAAGCGGAGGGCAGAAGTCGGGAGAACAAGGGAATCATGTGACCATGGATTTTGAACCCGGGCTAGAATCCTGCACTCCTTTTGCCCTGCCTGCTGCCCTGCCCTGTCCGACTGAACCAGTCCTCTACTGCCCCCTCCAATGTCTGCCCGGTCCTGCCCCAAGCACCCGCCCTACGCCAATGCCCCAGCGCTGTGGCTTGGGTTCGGGTTTTGAGTGGGGTGGGGTAAGGTCCGGGTAAGGTATAGTTTAGGGCAATGGTCAGGGTGGGGTTTCGGCAGCTCGGCGGTCGGCCCTACTACCCCCATGCGGCCAGTGCATGCTCTGTTGACACTGACGAGCCCCGGCCGATGCATCCGGAGATCGCTTCATCCTTGGCACTACGCCAATAAACCAACAAACAGATACCTGTCTTCCGAAGATTGCCTGGTTGCCATCGTCTGGAGGTTGGACTTGTGAAGCAGTGTTCTGGAACACTCGCAATCACGCGAAGTAACGCGAATATTCCTCAAATCATCTTGGGCATGTTCTTACAGTTCAAGGACTATCCTGAATCAAGGGGTTTTAGTCTCTATAGGTGTTCGTCGTCGAATAGGGAAAGCACGTAAGGAAACTTCACATGATGCGCCGCCTGCAATCGTGTCTTGTGGAAGTGAAGCCGGGCACCTTCCAAGTTTGCACTTGCATCGTGAACTCCAGGTACCATCCTCGAGCTTTATACTCTCTCAGTATGTTCAGGGGTGACTGGCTTGTGCCGCACGATTGTATGCTCAGGGTTGTTGGGTTGTGGAGGTAGTTTAGAATTATTATCATTACCAGTGTGATACGAAATAACCAAGCAAAGTATGCTCCTTGCATCAATGCTGCCAGTGAGTTCGTCGAGCTTGGGCCCTAAGTGCATGGACATGTCGGGCTCGAAACAGACGCCGCGAGTGTACTATGCGAAAGCAGCACATGACATGCCTACTGCTGATAGAGTCTCTGATAGAGGCAATGACGATATCAGTGCTAGCTAGCAGCTAGCAGCAACATTGACAGCACAACACAGGACTCTATCGATAATCTTACGGGCGGCCAAGAACAGCAGTAAATGCACAACTAGTACACGCAACCATCCATCGTGACAAAGTCGCACTTGCAATGTCAGTCTGTATACAAAGATGTTTTGTAGTAGCAGTGGTAACAGCAGCAGTAGTAGTAATAATAGTAGTAGTAGTAGTAGTAGTAGCAGTAGTAGTAGTAGTGGTAGTAGTAGTAGTAGTAGTAGTAGTAGTAGTAGTAGTAGTAAGTGAGTACGTTAGTAAGGTAGTAAGTTACCAA